AGCCTCGGGAGGGAAGGGGCGGATCAACGGTCGACAGTCCGGCAGCTAGACCGCCAGGGAAGGACCGCCGGACCCCGCCGCAGGCTCCGCCGGGAGGCAGTCCGCCTTTGCCAGCCGCGCCTCCCGCCGCGCCGCCGCCGCCGCCTCTGCGCCAGCCGCCTACGGGCGCGCCGTGGACATGTCCTGGACATGTCTCGCAAGGCTCGGAGCACCTGGTTGGGCCAGCCGCCTCGGCCTCGGCAGCCTCGGCCGCCTCGGCGGCGGCCCTCTCGGCCTCTTCAGCGGCGGCGGCGGCGGCCACCTCTGCCTCCTCCCGCGCCTGGTCCTCTGCGAGCGCCCGCTCGTACTCGCTCGCTTGCTCCTGGGGGGGGAGGGGGAGGGGGAGGTGCGCCGTGCGCCTTGCAGGGCGGGGAGGGGTGGGTCGCCCGAGCGCCGCTCGCTCCTGGATGATTGCCCGGTCGACCGCGCGCGCCGTCAGCTCCTCCCGCGCCTCCTCGAGCAGCGGAGCCCACGTCTGCAGCGTCTCGGACAAGGCGGCGACCGTCCCGTCCACGTCGCGCAGCCGCACGCCGGCAACCTGAGCCAGCGCCTGCGCGCCGCGACCCCGGCCGGCGCCCTCGGCCTGCGCGAGCACGACGAGCGTGGGCAGCTCGCGCGGCCGCAGCGCCTGCCGCACCGCCCGCCCGTCCGCTGTCGCGTCATCTGCCACCCAAAAGACAAAGTTTTCGTCCACAAACGCGGCAAAGAGCGCATTCGCAATCAGCTCGTCGCAGGTGGAGGCGGCGGCGGGGTGGGCGGCGGAGTGGAGGTAGACGAGGCAGAACTTGGCCTCCCTCCGCGCTCGCGACAGCGCCTCGGAGCAGCTCCCGCGGAAGAAGCGCGGGTGCGTCTCGCCGTGCAGCTCCTCAAACTCGGCGGTGAAGCGCGCGGCGGCCTCGGCGGCGGACTCGCGCGGCGGCGGCGCCAGGAAGCCGAGGAGGCGCAGCGGTGTGAGGAGGAGGAGGTCGGCGACGGGGAGCACCAGCGAGAGCAGGCCGGTGCGCTGAAGCAGCCGCCCAAGGCCGACAAAGAGGAGGCGGAGGTGAGAAAAGCCCGGGAGGCCTCCGACGTAGCTGAGGAAGTCGAGCACGCCGGCGCCGCTACCGGCGGCGGCGGCGGGAGGCTGGCGCGCCGGCGGGCGCGCCGCCGGATCGCCGCCGTCACCGTGCGCCTCCCCGCCGCCGCCGCCGCCGCCGCTGCGCGCCGCAGCACTGCTTCCGGCGGCGCTGTCCTCTTGGTCGAAGTGGAGCTGGACGGCAACCTCCAGGTTGCCGCCCGCCGCGTCGAGGAGCGACTGGCTCGCCTCCTCGCTCAGACCCGTGATGGCCGCGACTTCTGAGGCCGCCATCGCGCTGTTTCGCGAAAAATAATACCGGCGCCGCGTGGCGTGGAGCGGTTGAGCATCCCTCCGGGGGGGGGGCTCTGCGCCGGGAGGCGTTCTTGGAGGCTAAACCCCTTTTTAAATTCGGGGCCGACTCCGCTACGCTCCGACCCGAATCGTCTGGTCGTCGTCTCTTAACAAAACATCGTCTCTTTCACTTTCAAACAAAAACTTTCTCTCACTTTCTTCTCGAATTTGGAGAGAGAGAGATTTTTGAAAACCAACAAGATTGGGCTCGGCAGACCAACAAGATTGGGCTCGGCAGCTTGAATTTGGAGGGCCTAAAAGTTAAGGTGTTGCTTCAAAAGGGGCTAGTGCTAGAAAAGAGGTCGGGCAAACAACAATATCAAACAACAAACAGGTCGCAGCGTGTACCTAACGCGCTCCGATGGCACCTACGCCACGTGGGGTGGGGCGCTACCGACCGAAAGCTCGTCGCAGGATGCAGAGACGAAGGCCCTCGTGGAATGCGTCGAGAGAGCCAGCAAGGGATAGACAGCGGAGATCAGAGCCGACTCCTAGTATTAATCGACAGCAGACCGGTTGGCCAATCGGTGGACGCAGCATGGAAGGCGAGGAGCCCTCAAGCTATACGTGCGAGGCCGAGGAGAGAAGACATGGGGTCCCGTACCATGCGGAATCGACCCTATCCGGTGCTCAAGTGCTCAAGACATGGAGCAGATTGCGCTTGCGAAATGAGACAAACTAGGAAGCCTCAAGCTCCTCTGGATTCCGAGTCACGTAGGAATCATCCCCAACGCCTACGCCGACGCGATTGCCGACGCCCACCGATTCGACGCGCCCAAGGACACATACCCGAGCCCCGGGTCGTGTCTCGTCAGATACGCGAAGCTCGAGAACGGCAACCACGGAGCAGGACGGGCGAACGGAATCTTCTCCACGACAGCCGGGGCGCGACCGGTGCACACGACCTGGCCAGAGACGGCGTCCAGAGGTGGATCGCCAAGCGATTTGGATGCGGGTTACGACGACTCCGGCGATTGGAGACCCAGAGACTTACCTCGACTCGACTGGGACAGAGATTGGAGACCGAATCTCGGTGAGGCCTGGCGGGAGGCTAGCAAATGGACAGCAGTCATCCGCATCTCCAGCTCGGGTGGCGAGGGCCAGCACAGTTCCACAAACCCCTCTGAACTCGGAGCCGTAATGATGCTGCGGGCGGACAAATTCCCCATCGCGGTCGCCCTCAAGGAATGCCCCATCTGCAGCACCGCGTGGGACGAGCAACCCTTCGCGACACTACGCCACGTCCTTCGGGAAGTATGGGGACAGATCTTGGACGCTGGCGATGCAACCTCAGACATACTTCACGGTCACGCCGCAGAGGAGGCGGCGAGGAAGAATGCGCTCGCCGCTCGGTATGGCAGGCCAGACGATAGAAAGGAGGCTGCGCGGAGAGGAGGGGGCGGAGGCCAGCGAGGAGCAGGAGCGGAGAGCGAGCGGAGGGGACGAGGAGGAGGGAGGGGCAAGTGACAGACCAGGGAATAGAGGGCGCTGGCAGAGGCGGAGGTTCAACCGGAGGAGCGCCACAAAGGAGGCGCAGCGAGCGGAGGAAGCGGCGCCAACCAGCGACGACGTGGAAATGGAGAGGCAGCTCGAGGGGGAGGCGGATCTCTCAACCGCTGGCGGCAGGCCTCAATGCGGCCCGGTCAGCGACGACGAGGACGAGATGAGAATTTGCGACGCCTTCGACGAGGTGGGGAGGGGTCCAACTCGATCCGCCCGGCGGCACAAGGGGAGGCGCTCGACGACGAGGCGCCAGCCGCGATGGCGGCAGGCATGCGCGCCAACCACCCCCGGTGTTTTGACACCATTATTTGGTATATTAACCTTGCGGCCGCCTAGATAGACTGAAAGAGGTAGACACCACAGGAGGCGAGGCCACCGCTAATGCTGCTGCTGTTGCTGCTGCTGTTGCTGCTGCTGCTGCTGCTGCTGCTGCTGCTAGTGCTGCCGCCACTGCTGCTGCTCTCTCCCGCCCCGCCCGCCCTCCCCGCCCCGCCCCGCCCGCCTGCCCACCCGCCCGCACGCCCTCCTTCCCACCAGTCGCCCCACCCCTCCGCCCCCTCCAGATCGCCCTTTTCCCAATCGACAAATAGGCGCTCGATTCCTCCTCTCGCTGCCTACTCGCTGCCTCGAGGGGAGGAGGGGAAGATGTCGAGCGGGCGCCACTGCGCTAGCACGGCCGGAGGCCCCTCCCCGAAAGGCAAGTATTAGACCCACGAAACCGAGACCGTCCCCTCCCCACCGCCCCGATGCCCCCACCCCCCTGCTCCCCTCCCCCCCTCGGGAGGGCCGAAGAGAGGCGCCCGTGGGGACCCCGCAATTCCCTTCCCCCCTCGGAGGGGGCCGGACGGAGGCGTACCCCGAGGGCCCCGCTCTTTCCTTCGCATAGCGGCCACTCTTCGGATCGCTGGTCGAGCGACCCGGGGGATGCCCTGCGCGCCTGACCCAGGCGCGAGAAACGAATCTGCGAGGCGCGGCCGCTTATGCGGCCCGATGGGGAGGAGTGGGGCGGACTACGGGGATCGGCTTCTTACACCGCCCTCCCTTGCAGCGAGCCCCCTCCAACCCACCGGCGCTAGGTCCCGGGGGACGCAGGGGTCAGCCCCGCGCGACCTCGGAAACTAGCCGGGGCAGTCGGAGAAGGGGCAACTCCGTGCACTGACGGTCGGCCGCCAGAAAACACGCCTGCGTGGACCGCGTCACACCAATGCTCGCTACCCAACGCGGCCAAAGCATATCCACCTCGAGAACCTCGAGAGAGACAGGTCGCAGCTCATGCTAAGTCCTAAGAGCTAGACAGCTAGAGAGAACAACCACCCTGTCCCCCCATTATTGCGTACACCAACACTTTCCAGAAAAGCTCTCTCTCTCCTGGGTGGCAGGTATTGGTGGAGACGATCCGAGGGGTCCCGTACCAATGCGGAATCGACCCCTATCCAGTGCTCAAGTGCTCAAGCGTGGCGGCGCTTTGCTTTTGATTACTTTGCCGGCCCCGAATCGTGAGCGGAGCTCCTCCCTCAAGCTCGATCACGCATGCACGTTGAGTGACTACGGCGGCGAGCTGCTCAATCAGGCCAGGTTGCCGGAGGCGGAGCACCTCCAACTCCTCCTCCGAGAGCCTCCGTGCTCCGAGTCAGACACGACAACGGCGACTGCCGCCCCCCCTCGCCCCCTCCATTCGTCGACTGCGCCCTCTTCTCCTCCATTCGCCGCCTGAAGCAGCGGTCTTCTAAAAGAAAGAAAAGAAAGAAAACAGACAACCAAGGGAGGGATGGGAGGACGGCACGCCGCCACCACACAGGGATTTTAAGGAGAGGAGTGTGGTGCTAGCCGTCGCCCACCCTAACCCTTGGTGCTTGGTCGTCTGCCTCTTTCTATCTCCCTTCGCAGTCCCTCGCCGATTCTCGCTGCAACCTTCATGCGTCTTCGCGGTTTTCTTTTCCAGGGTGCACGGAGCTAAGACCTAAGTGCCTCGCCACCCTCGCAGGAGTCGCTTAGGCGGCTCCCGTGGTGTACCTGTGTTAGAGTTAGTGCCAGTGCGCGCCAGTCCCGTGCCCAGTGTTGTGCGAGGGAGCTTTAAGAAAGAAAGAAAACAGACAAACCCAGACGAGGGATGGGGGAGGAGGACAGGGTCCCCACCTGCACGAGCAGGATTTTGGAAGGACGATCAGGGGGACAGGTGGGGCTCTCCTGCTCCTGACAAGGGACACGACAGGTTCGCAGCGCGGTGCACGGTGGACTCCCAACTCCACTGGCGGTCTCATCTCAGTCTAGCGACCTGCCTCCAGCTTCCCGCTGGCAGTCTCTCACTACCACAGGCACACTGACACAGGGGTGGCAGAGGGGCGGCGGCACGCTTTAAGAAAGAAAGAAAGAAAACAGAGAAAGCCAGACGAGGAAGGGGGAGGAGGACAGGGTCCCCACCTGCACGAGCAGGATTTTGGAAGGACGATCAGGGGGACAGGTGGGGCTCTCCTGCTCCTGACAAGGCACGCTTTGTTGTCAATGAAAAAATTGTTTTTGCGAGACTGCCCGCCCCCGCAAGAGGTGCGCTTCTGATCCAGCCCACCCTCAACGCGGGCAGAAGATACAAACACCCAACGCGGCCAGAAGATATCAACCTCGAGAACCTCGAGGGAGTGCTGCCGAATGCGGACCGCCCTCGCCACCGAGGTGCACCGCAGCGACTCGACGTCCAAGTTGATATCGTCGCCCTCGCGCTCCCTCACGCCCGACCTGCCAGAGACGGAGGACGAGGCCGCCTGGCTCGGTGCGGAGGATGCGGTGCCGGGCTTTCTGAGCCCAAAGACGAAGCTCGGATGGCTGCCGCAGCGATCTGTGACAGTGGCCTTCTCGTGCCTCGCCTTCTTCGCGCCCTTTCTCTGGGGCGCTTGGCCGATGTGGCCTGTGCAGTGCGCGCTCTCTCTCCTCAGCGATTACGCCAGGCCGCCTAGATGCGCGAAAGTGTGAGGTCGCACTGTGGGCGCGCACTGCGTCTGCGAGCGCACTGCATCGGCCGCGCGCGCGCTCGTCGCGTGCGTGCGCTCCTCGAAGCGGCCGCCCTCATTGTCCGCAGGTGCACACGGGGCAGGACTCGTGGTGGCACGTCGCGGACCGGCTGCTGGCGAGGAGCCTGTCTGTCTTCATGATTTGTACCTCCCTCGTCTCCCTCGGCCTGTGGTGCACGGTCGCCCTCATCGCGGGCTCCTTCTCCTTTTACGGCATCTCGGTCCGGGCGATGTGGAGGCAGGACTACACCACTTATGTCTGGGCGCGCCGTCCCTCGCACTGCCCCCGCGGTCGGCGCCAGAAGGGCCTCCCGCGCTCACGCCGCGCCCGCGCTCGCCGCAGGCGCACACGATGTGGCACCTCGCCGCGGGCGCCTCCAACTCGGTCATCATGGCGAGCGTGTGCGACGCGTCCCTCTCGGCGCAGTGCAGGCCGCGCGCGTGGCTCTTTGGCTACGTCAGCTGCAGATGTTTATCGTGGAGGCCGCCTGGGGAGGACCTAGCGACGAGCTCCACCTTTGAGTTCTAACCTTGTCAATGGTAGAGAGAGAGAGAGAGACCGGGTGAGAGAGCGTGCTCTTGACAGAGGAGAGTGACGTCGACTCTGAGCTGTCGTGTGTCAGTGAGCGCACGAGATGGCAAATTACGTTATACGTAAAACGAAAACCTCATCACATGGCATGGAATGGGGCGGCGAGCGCGCGCGTCAGCTCTCACACACTCAGCCACTCAGCTCTCACCACGCCCACACTACACACTGCGTCACTCTGGGAAAACACGACCGCTCTCTGAAACGTGAAAGAGCGGTGAGAGATCGATAGAGTAGACGGAATATCTGGGCATTGCTACTTTGCTGCCCGGCCGCTGCCTCCCTCCCCGCTGAGAGTAGCCGAATGCTAGCACGCCCGGGGGGGGGCGGGGGCTCGGGCGGCTCGACTATACATCGACGACGAGTACTCGAGGAAGGGTTCCTACATGCGTCGAGGTTTGAGCGCCGGGTCGAGCGACGCCCACACGTGCTGGTAGGGCACGCCGGGGGCGAGCCAGGGGCGGAGCAGCGCGCGGACGCGCCGCTCCTGCTCCGGCTCGGTGCGGGGCCCAAAGGCGAAGTCGACCACAGAGACCGTGGCGGCGAGCATCGAGGCCACCCGCGCGTCGAAGGTGAGGGCGAGGCACCACCGGAACTTGAAGAAGGCGAGGGGGCTGGCGTCGGCGGCCTGCTCCCACTTGTCGTGCCGCACCGTCACGCGGCCGTCCCTCTCGATGTCGACGGAGACGCGCCACTCGCCGCGCAGGTCGCGGTAGCGCGCGAGCGAGTAGACGGAGCGGTGCAGCGCCTTGACGGCGGGCGCCACCATCGACTGGCTGATGCAGCGCAGCACCGCGAGGGCCGCGCTCGTGGGCGGCAGCCAGGGCTGGGAGAAGAGGGCCTGTAGCTTGTCGGGCAGCTCGCCCTCCGCCACGGGCACGGCCTCGCGGAGCCAACCGTCCCAACCGTCGCAGATCGCGGCCGACACGGCCGGCGGGTCGAGCCTGCGAGACAGGCTTCCCAAGAGCTGGCCGAGGCAGGCGAGCTGCGAGGCGGGCGACTCCCGCCAGCGGCCGTCGTCTTCGTACAGCGTCTCGCCGCGGGCATGGCACCGCACGGCTAGGCCCCTCATCAGGCGGGGCAGGTCGCGGTGGACGCACTGTTCGCCGAGCGGGCGGCGCCAGAGGACGTGGTACTCGAGGTGCGGCGGCAGCAGCGGCCGAAGCACGCAGACCAGCTCCTCCTTCGCCGCCGCGTCGACCCCCTCGGCGCAATAGTCGCAGATCTGAACGCGGGCCTGTCTGACCGCGCCGAGCGAGGCGCCCAGCGAGAGGGAAAGCTCGAGCTGGAAGAAGAAGCTCGTCGGGCCCGAGGCGCCCGCCCTGCGCAGGGCGGCGGACGCCCACACACGGTGGAGCACAGAGACCCCCTCCTCGATGCTGACCTGCATCGTCCAGCTGCCGCCGTCCAGAGACGCGGAGACGCGGTCGCCGAAGAGCTCAGAGGCGGCCTCGAGGGCGGGCACCAGCACGCGCGGATGTGACCAGCGCATCAGCTCCGCCGTCCGCCCGCCGACGCCGCACACGGCAATGACGTCTGGAATGGGCGACTCGATCTCGAGCACAACTTTGGCCACAACCTTTTCGAACACCGCGGGCGCCTCCCCAAGCCGGCGCGCGATCTCGGAGAGCACGTCCGACAGCCCGGCCGCCCCGCCGGCCGGATGCCCATGCGGGGGCGCCTCGTGCGCTGGGCCTCTCGGGGCGAGTGAGACGGTGGGCGCGACGAGGCCAAGTGGGCTGCCCTCCAGGAGGTCTGCAATACGTGCGGTTCCCAGCGGAGGCTCGGTCTCGGATTGGCGGCGCAGCCGCTCCTTGAGCACAGCGCCCACCCACGCCGCCGCCTCTGCAGCGCTCGAAGCCCGCAGCGTCAGCTGCCGCATCCCCGTTACTTGGATGATAATATCGCTCGGGGAGCTTGTGCTCGGGAGGACGCTCTCCACAGCCGAGAGAGCGAGGCACCTAGCGTTTAGTAGCGAGGTGGCTCGCTTCTTTAAGAGTTGCTTACTGCCACTGCTACTGCTGCTAGCGAAGCACCTGGCGGCCGCGTGGGGCGTGGAGTGGTGTGCGATGACGAGCGCAGACGGCGTCAGGACGATGAAGCGCTTCTGCCACCCAGCAAGTCCGTGGGAGCGCTTTTGCAGCCAGCCGCTACGGACCGTTTCTCCGTCGGAGAGGGACGCGGCCGCAGCGGCCGCGGCCTCGAGCGTGGCGGCACGCACGCTCCCGGGCGAAGCCAGATCGGCTGAGTCTCCTCCTTGGTCGCCAGCTCGGGCCTTGCCTCGGGCGGTAATCTCGTGCAGCAGAATCCCGCGAGCCATGGTCTTGGCGCTCGGATCGGTGGCGGGCGGCACAGGTCTTAGGGAGCGGCCAGCCGATATCTCGGACAGTAGGTCCTGGGAGAGCGACCGGCGACGCTCAGAACTCATTGTGGAAGCCGGCGTCGGAACTACCGCCAAAACAGGTTCCCGACCCCCGCTGCGCACCACGCGCGCTCCGGCGCGTGGGTTGAGATCACCCCCGGCAGCCCTAGCCAGGCCCCGCGCGCTGGCCGCGACCGCGACCGCGGCTCTCGCTCGAGCCCGAACTGCCCGTCAGACATGTCGGACTTGTCGGAGAATAGCGACTAGCACACCTCTGTCAAGAGTCCCCAGAAACCCGAGGAGTCACTCAGTCCACCTGTGTGATGCACGCCGCGAGCGGGGCGGGGTGGCGGGGTGCGCACTCTGGTGGTGGTGCCCCCGTCTGTGACTGTGTTCGTGCGTCGCCCATCTCTCCTGGAGGTGGCTGCTCTATTTATTTATTCGGCACACGCCATGCTCCACGTGCACCTCTCTCTCCAACACGGGGCCGCACCCTCTCCCTACACACCACCCACTGATGCACACGCACGCGCACACGTACCCCGAGAGATCACAGCAAGCCCACAACGCCAACCGTCTCGCTGGGCTGGGGCCGCCGCTGCCTCCGGTTCCGGTGCCGCTTGGCGGCGAGCGCGGCGGCGACGGCAGCGGCGAGCACCGCCAGCGGGAGGAGCAGCAGGGTCGCGCCGGGCGGCGGGGCGGCGGCGGCAGCGGCCGGCTCGGAGCGCTGCCAGTAGGGCACAAAGGGGATCGGGAGGCTGAGCACGGCCCAGCCCGGGTGGGGAAGCGCCGCGTGCGGCCAGTCGTGCCACGCCGCCACGCCCGCCACCACCCCGCCGCCCACACAGCCCGGCGCGCAGCCGATGCCGCCCGCCGCGGCGCCGCCAGCAGCGCAGCCCGCCATGCACCCCTTGAGCGCGCCTTGGACGGTGTCGACGACGGTGGCGTCCCACTCGGACATGTCGGCGCCGCACGGCCGGCCGCAGCAGAGCCCCACCGACGAGACCGCGGCGATCGCGGTGGCGGCCATGTCGCACTGGTGCGACCGGTTGAGCAGCAGGTCCTCTGCGTCGCACCGCTGCTGGCACTCGATCATGCTGTGGTCGCAGCTGCTCGTGTCGTTGGCGAGGCCGCAGCAGCGGTCGTGCTCGCGGCAGCAGCCGTCCGCGCAGAACGCCGGCTCCACCGAGAAGTTGCAGGCGAAGTGGTCCCGCGGCCCGTACCGCTCGCGCACGGGGCTGCCGCCGCACCAGCGCACGCCGCAGTAGTTGCCGCACGCAGTGACGCCCCACCAGTGCATGTCATCGGGCTCGCTCACCAGGTCGACTAGGTCGACGGTGAAGCGCAGCGGGCTGTCCGGGTCGAACGGTGGGAGCGGCGGCGGCGGCGGCGGCGGCGGTGGGTCTGGCGGCGGCGGAGGAGGAGGCGGCGGAGGCGGCGGCGGCGGAGGCGGTAGAGGAGGGTCGGGCGGCGGCGGCGGCGATGGTGGCGGCCGGGGTGGCTGCGGTGGAGACGGAGGCGGGTGCGGAGGATCCGGCGGTGCAGGTGGCCCCGGCGGCGGAGCCGGTGGCGCCGGCTGCGAGGGTGGTGCAGGCGGCCAGGGCACATCATCGCCGCCGAGCAACCACGTCCCGAGCATCGCTGCCCCTGAGACGGCCGCAGTGGCGAGGGCGAGCTCCAAGACTACCATGGGGTCTAAGAGGTTCTCGGCTCGCAGCCGCACCAGACCGAGAGCTCGAGGACGGAAGCGCGAGCCGGCCTCGCAAGGAGGGACCGAAAAAAAATTTCGCCAAGTGGCGATTTCGTTGTTAATAATTTTTCTTTCCTCTGCGACATTAGGCACTCCTTAGCCTCAAGCATAAGATGAGATTCCCAGACGAGAACGGGGGGAAGGACAGGCGAGCGACATTTGACGACGTCGGGGGTCACAATGATCAATGTGACGACCAAAACGATCTTGGGAGCCAGGGTGAGACAACAGGTCGGGGTGCCACACGGGGCACACCACAGGCGTATCCTAGAGGGGGGAAAGAAACGAGGAATGAGGGGCCCCGCCACGAGAAGTGCGTTCTGGGGATGCAGAGCGTGCAAGGCGGCTAGGGATGTGCTTCACCTTTGAGTCACCGTCTGTGTCGGCAACAGCCATCATGGGCTCTGCCATTTCGGCCGCCATGCCAAGCATTTCCAACACCTACAGTGGCCAAGCCAATCATGATCATCCGATGGCATGTCTCCCTGTCACGGCCCGCCTCCGTCTGTGGCTGCCTTCGGGAACTCCGACATGTCAATGCCTCCACTGCCGTCGGCGTCGCACGCGGCGAATGCTTCCCGTATAGCATCCTTGGTGGATGGCATACTCCTCACCCGATGGGGGCCAGCGATCTACCGCGAGAGTGAAGTGTTCGAAGTTGCCGTGTGGGGCGCCAAGAGCCTCGTCTTCTCCTTGTACTTTCGAGTACTTGTACTTGTGTACGTACTTTTAGCTTACTCTCTCTTGTGTACGTCTCTCTCTCTCTTGTGTACGTACTTTTAGCTTACTCTCTCTACTTGTGTGTGTTTGATGTGGAGAAACCCATGTGGCACTCACGAGTCGCATCAGCAGTCGTGCAGTCCGCCTCCGGTGAAGGTTGGGAGCTATACCTCAAATCTTGTTCACACACACACACACACACACACACACACACACACACAACACACACACACACACACACACACACACACACACACACACACACACACACACACACACACACACACACACACACACACACACACACACACACACACACACACACACACACACACACACACACACACACACACACACACACACACACACACACACACACACAGCCGACAGGCACAGCCGACAGGCACAAGACAGGTGCCGACGGCGCGTGCTGGCACCAACATTCGAATTTTACAAGAAAAAAATTGCGCGACTCTAATCGGCGTCGGGCTTTCGCGTTTCGCAGACATATTGCAATATGGCTCGGGGGTCGGGAGCCGGTGAACCGAGCATCCCGACGCTGGAACGACGCGAGACAGAGAGCTTGATTGCAAAGGCACTCGAGGCGTCGGAACAAGCGAGCGAGGATCGCGAAGTTATCGTAGGCGCTGGGTGGATGGCTCAGACGGCACGCCTGGAAGGTAAGTCGCAGGCGGACGTGGATAAGATCTACGAGGCTGGGGTGGCCGCGGGGCAAGCGGCGATTCGTGGAGGGTCGACCGCTAAGTGGGCAATTGTTGCTGCTGCACGGGCCGCGGGCGCTGCCATCATGAGCGGCCAGACTGCCGAGGAGGCTGCTGACGCGGGCAAGCGCATCGTTGCGCTTGCTCTCACCACCAAGGAGAAGCAAGAGAGGATGGCGGACTCGGTGGGTGGAGGAAAGCTGAGCTCGCTGCTATTTGTGACCGTCGACGCTGCAATATCGGCCATCCTTTCCGGCGTGCCCACGCATGTTGCGATGCTCGCTGGCACGGCTGCCTCAGTGGCTGCGGTGGCGGCGGCTGAGGCTCACACCAATTACCCCATCGCAGGCAGTGTACCCCGTTGCAGTCACCAATCACCCCATCGCAGCTGAGGCTCACGCCAATTGCCCCATCGCAGGCAAGGTGGCGGGCAAAATCATTGCCCAAGGCTACACAGGCAAGCAGGCGGCGGCGGCAAGCAGGGCCGCGGGGGAAGCTGCCTACTCAATGCGAGAAGAGTTTCCCGAGGGCAGCAAGTACCACAACACTCCGATGGCGGGGATCGCAATGGGGGAGGTGGGCGAAATTGTGGGCTTCGCCGTCGCCGACGGCAAGCCAGAGGAGGTGAAGCCGTCGCGCCTCGCCAAGCTCATTCGGGCGGTCACCGGTGCGACGAAGGCTGTTGCCGACACCTACGAGTTCCCTCTGCAATCGCAAGCACTCGTCGAGCTCTGCCTAGCCCAGACAAAGGCCGCCGCCGCCGCCGCCGGAGCGGCAATCATGGCCAACACCACCGAGGCACAGGCAGCAGCGGCCGCTGCAGCAGCGGCAAGCGCAGCCGAGGCAGTGTACCATGCCGGCTACAAGGGAGAGAGCGCCATTGCCGCTGCGGGTAAGGCAGCTGCCTCGGCGATCATCGATGGGAAGACTGGCGCGGAAGCGGTCGCTGCTGGCAAGGCAGCAGCGGCACACGCCGTTCAACAGATTCGCGGCAATGCTTCGGTGTCCGGAACCGAAGTTGCCTTGGCTGCTGCCGCTATCGTGGCCGCTGCCATCGCGGTGAAGTTTCTTCGTCGGTAAGAACGCCAGCCCTGTTGGGGCTTGCTGGCACTGTGTGCGGTCGGCTGTGTGCTGAGTTGTTGACGCTGATCCCGCGCGCACACTCTGCTCGCGAATTCCTTGGAGGGCTGGCCCGTGAGCTGGACACGCCGGAGGGGTCAGAGTAGGTGTAGAGCCGTAGCTTCCGTCACGATGTCACCAAAGAAGGCGAGAACATTGTGGCTGCTCGGGCGAACGATCGAGAGACTGAGTGGTGTGTCAGTGGACGCACAGTTAATAGCTACATACACAAACTTCCGCGCGCACACACGCCGCCGATAATGCGATCGAGCGCCTCGACGGACGACGGTCGACGCTCGAGCGCGCCGCGCCTTGCTCGAGCTTGTTGGGCCCCAGCAGCCGCTACTAGTTGAATTATAGCGGTAAGGCCAAGGGTAACACGACTAACGATACGTGATCGTAGCGATAGAGACCCCCCGCCCGGAGAGAGACCACGCACGCGCGTCATGCGTCAAGTCTCAAGATCACGGTCAGTCACTTTCGGCAGAGTTCTTTGTGCTGTCTCACATGCTCTCCGCACTTCTCTTAGGTAGGAGATGATATACAGTCTAGAGAATAAGAACACTCTCATCTATCAGAGAAGGTCCACTGGCAACGATCGCCGAGTGCAGCGTCGAGCAACATGTCTCCGAAGGCCGAGGACGGCGACTGGAATCCCGGCGGCGCGCTGCCACTGAGGACGCGGGAAGCGATCTCCACCACGCAGAGTACCGTCGTGTCGTACGGATCGGGCACGCGCAGGAGGCCTCGGCCCAACAAGCCACCCGCAGCATCACGCGCCTCGCCAGAGCAGACAGCCGCGGCCGCCATGCGAACCCTTTCGTCTGGGCCTGTGGCCGAAGCCGCCGCGAAACGCTCAAGCAACGGCTCCACCTCGTGCGGCCGCGCCGAGGCAAACCAGCCTGCCTGCGTGATGAGTAGCGAGGAGACGCGCGGCTCTCCGGCCCGTGACGGCAGCAGCGATGCGGTGATGAGGTCGGGGAGAGCCGTCACTGCCGTTGGCAGCGCGCCATGCGGCGCCCCAAAGTCCAGGCTCGGCCCGACCCCCGAGCAAGGCTGCACCTCGCCGCCAACCAGCGCGAGCGGCGTCTCTCCCGCACGGCGAGCACGCAGCAGCACGCGGGCAGTGCCGCGGGAGAGGGCCCCCCGCACAGGTAGCACCCCAACCACCACCGCCGTGGAGGCGGCCCACCGCAGCTTGAGTCTGGCGGCGAGCGCGTCGGTCGGCACAGAGTCGAAGCCGGCGGCGGGGAGAAGCATCACTCCCGAGGCGGCGGCGCGGTCGCCGAGAGCCTGCACCGCCTGCACAGACCTCCACTCGCCAGACACGTCGACGTAGTGTGTGCGCGCGAGGACGGCGCCGCTGGCGACGGCCGACGCGGTCTCCTCGTACGGTCCCGCCAGGTGCAGGACGCACTCTGCTCGCCGCAGCGCGCCGTGGAGCGCTTGCGTGTCGCGCAGGGAAAAGCACGAGAGCGCCACGGCCCCCTCAGCTGCGGCGCGCCCCTCCTCGCGCGCCGCCGCCGCAGCAGCGTCCGTCACGATCCGCGCAACCTCCGCCAGCTTGGCTCCGTCCCTGCCGCAGAGAAGGAGCCGCCAGCCGCGCCGCGCCGCCGCCTCGGCGACGAGGCGTCCGGTGAAGCCGTACGCGCCGTAGAGCAGCAGGTCGAACTCGCGCCGCGAGGCAGAGGAGGGGAGCGAGGAGGGGAGCGAGGAGGGGAGCGAGGAGGGGAGCGAGGACGGCTTGGAGGAAGGCGGTGGGTCGCAGGCGCGGGAACGTCCGCCTCGGAGCAGGTCGGGAGGCGGGGCGGAAGGCGGCGGCCTAGGCGGCGGCGCCTTCAGGCGGCCGATGCCGTTCGCAGAGCCGTTTGTGAGAGCGGGCCGGGCGGCGGCCGCGTCACTGGCGTGGGGGTGGCCTCTGTGGCGCGGTCGGTCGGTTCCCGTTGCGGCTGTGGGGAGGGAGGCGCCGGCGGGCGGGGGGGAGGTGCGGCCTCTGGAGAGGGGGGAGCAGAGCGAGGAGGAGGCCGAGGGAGGGCCCTCCTCCCACGCCTCCTCTGCGGCGCTGGGCTCGTGTGCCTCCTCCTCCTCCTCCTCCGCTCCGCCCGCCTCCGCCTCCGGCCCGCCCTCGCCCGATCCGCCCTCGCCCAACGCACCCTGCACGCCGACGACCTCGCCGTTCTGGAGGATCACACGCCGACGCGCAGCAGGCAGCGGCAAGCCCAGCTCCTCCTGCTCGCCACCCCGCCACCCTCCCGTCGCCTCGTCCCTCCCGCCCCTCGCGTGCAAGTCGCTCGTGGGGTGAAAGCGCAGCGGAGAGGGTGGCGCGCAGCCTGGTGCGGGCGAGAGGGCGTCCGGTGAGGGCGTGCTCTCCTGTCTGAGGGCGAGGCTGGCACAGGCGGCACACCTGCGCCAACTTCGGCAGCCAGCGGCCGCGCGGAGCCCGAGGAAACGGGCAGCGCGCGCTCAGCGTCTGACGGCGAGAGGCGAGCTTCGCGCCGCGCCTTGAAGAGGGCCGTGGCAATGACCTGCCGCATCGCGAGCGGCGCTACTCCGGCTTCGCGAAGCCCAGCCAAGAGCGCGACGCGGCCACTCTGACCTTGCCGCTGCTGCTCGGGCGTCGGCGGACGCACCCAGCTGGTCAATCCATCTCGCTGCTCGAGAGCGAGCGCGCCGCCCCGCCCCTCAAGCCTCAGGGGCGCCGCGCCTTCGCGCGTATGCCCGGCGAGCTCCACCATGCGAGTGAGTGGCAGCCGCGCCAGCAGAACCGTGTGTGTGGCGGCAACCTGCGGGTCGTCGCGCGGCAGCTCGGCCGCCTCCAGCAATGCCATCACGTCGGTCACGATGACCCCGTTGCGCGGTCCGCGCTCGTTCCCCTCGCTCCGGTCGCCGATGGAGGGCATTTAGGAGAGCGTGGCGGCGAGGTCGGCGGCGTTTACGGTGTCGTGCGACAACGATCACACGGCGTTCGCGTCGAACTGAGACGCCGCGCCACTTAATTCTTTTTGAGCTAGACTTCGTTGTTAATTGGAACAAGCGAAGGCACACACGACATGACGCCAAACACACGATTGCACGCACCGCACCGCACCTCGCACCCGCACCCGCCGCCCCCCCGCCCCCTGCCCCGCCTAGGTGGGAAAGAGATGAGGAGATGGGACAGCGAAGGAGGAGCCACGAACACGTATGGGAGGTTTCGTTGATGCGTCACGCTGCCCGGCGTCTCTCACTTTCCGGGACAGCCCCGCCCTTGTGAGGCAGGAGGGTGTGACGACTACCCCGTACGCCCTGTTGCTTCCCCTCGCAACTACGACGCTTCCGCGGCGCATTTCCGTCATCATCCGGCCGCGCCCGAACAATCAAAATCGTCGCATTCTGGGGACGGACGCAACTCGTTGTCGTCTCTCGCCGCCGCTGGCTGCGCTGCCCTCAAGAGTCAGTGCTGCACCGTGCGATACAGCTGGCCGCACCTGACTCGTTCCTCACCTTTCCGCCCCCACCCTCCGCCAACAGGACCATGCCCAAGGGCTACTACAAAGAGGTTGACGGCGTCAACTATGATCGCAAGCTGCTGGAGAAGGCACAGAGGCTTGCAAGGGAGAATGCAGGAACGTTGAGCAAGGACGCAGTGGAGAAGCTTTGGGTCGACGTGCGTTCGGACGGCCGGAATCGCGGCCACGAAGACGGCGTGTGGGATGTGGAGTTGAGGACGCTCCTTCACATTGCCGACACACTCAAGTTGGACAAGTCTGCGGCGGCACTGATGAAGAAGGAAACTGCAGTGCACGAAGCAAGCGCTGGGGGCTCCGGCTCCGGCGCAGACTCCTCGAGTGGCGCGGGTAAACGTTCGCGTGGGTCGGTGGAACGGTTCGAGGCAGGGCCCGCAAGCGGCAAGGCGGCTGGCTCGGGTAGTGGCTCGGGCAGCGGCTCCGGGAAGCGCAAGAAGTCGGGCTCGTCCGACGACTACTACCAGATCATCGACGGCGTCAAGTACGACCGCGCCTTGCTCGAGATGGCGGAGGAGCTCTCGAGCGGCGGCAAGCTCGACGCGGCGGCGGTCGAGCAGCTGCTCGGGGCCATGCAGGACGCCGGCAAGGTGACCCCGACCGAGCTCGCGACGCTGCAGTACATCGCCGAGTCGTACAAGCTCGACAAGAAGGCGCAGGCCGCGATGGACAAGGGGCTGGCGGCGGCGGGCGGCGCAAAAAGCCGCTCCCTCGGCGGCAACGGCTCGGGCAGCGGCTCCGGGAAGCGCAAGAAGTCGGGCTCGTCCGACGACTACTACCAGATCATCGACGGCGTCAAGTACGACCGCGCCTTGCTCGAGATGGCGGAGGAGCTCTCGAGCGGCGGCAAGCTCGACGCGGCGGCGGTCGAGCAGCTGCTCGAGGCCATGCAGGACGCCGGCAAGGTGACCCCGACCGAGCTCGCGACGCTGCAGTACATCGCCGAGTCGTACAAGCTCGACAAGAAGGCGCAGGCCGCGATGGACAAGGGGCTGGCGGCGGCGGGCGGCGCAAAAAGCCGCTCCCTCGGCCAGGACCCGATCACTGTTATCGATGGAGTGGAGTACGATGCCGGCATCCTCGCTCTCGCGGAGGAGCTCGCGGCCGCCAACGGCGGGACCCTCACCATGGCGGACGTGCAACGGCTTTGGCGGGAGAGGACGCTCGATTTCGGCGATGTGACGGCTGTCGAGATGCGGACGCTCAGCTATGTCGTCGATCATTTCAAGATGGACAAGAAGGCGTCTGAGTTCTTGGTCAAGGAAGTGCAGGCCTGGAATGCCACTCACCTGGGAGGAGCAGGCAACGTGCACGTCACCAAGGAGGGAGCCGTCGCAGCTATGGCGGCGCAGGCCGCACTCGATGCGGGTCTGTCGCCAGAAGCAGCACGGGCGGCGGGCGAGGCGGCTGCGCTTGCAGTGAGTCTCGGCCGGACGCAGGCAGAGGCGCTCAAGGAGGGCGCCGCTGCGGCAAAGGCAGCGCAGGCGGCACTCGACGCAGGGCTTTCGACGGACGCAGCGCTTGTTGCCGGTGAGTTGGCCGCCAAGGCGGTCAGCGAGGGGGCGACTTTGCCAGAAGCGATGAAGGAGGCGTCGGCTGGTGGCAAGGCCGCGCAGGCCGCGCTTGACGCTGGCCTCTCGACCGATGCCGCGCAGATCGCTGGGTCCGAGGCGGCAAAGGCCATTCACGATGGCAAGTCGGCCGCTGACGCGGCCAAAGTGGGGATTGCCGCCGGCAAAGCAGCGCAGGTTGCGCTCGACGCGGGCCTCTCAAAGCAGGCGGCGCAAGTGGCCGGCATGGCGGCGGCCAAAGCGGTGGGCGAGGGACGCTCACCAGCCCAGGCGGCCAAGGAGGGACTGGTTGCAGGACAGGCAATGCAGGCCGCCCTGGACAGTGGCGCATCTACGGAGGCCGCAAGCGTGGCTGGCTTGATGGCGGCCAAGGCGGTGAGCGAGGGCAAGACGCCGGCCCAAGCGCTCAAGGAGGGAGCTGCCGCTGCCAAGGCTGCGCAGAAGCTCATCGACGCTTTTGTCAAGGAGGGCTTGTCGCCGGAGGATGCCGCTGAGGCTGCGTCCGCGATGCTTGCTGCCGGACCGCCCCAGCCCGACATTGCCGCGGTGGCCGACCTGATCGAGGGCGGCTTGGATCCAGAGGAGGCCATTGCCCAGGCGCACAACATCGCCAAGAACAAGGAGAACGCGGCGGCTGCGAGGGGCCTTGCGGCTTCGGAGGAGGAGGCGGCGAAGAAGGCGGCGGCGGCCGCCGCCGCGGCCGACAAGAAGGCCAAGGCTCAGCAGGCCGAGCTCGCCAAGGCGGAGGCTGCGGCCGACAAGGAGCGCGCCGCAGCAGACGCGGCGGCAAAGAAGGCGGCGGCAGCAAAGGCCGCCGCCGACAAGAAGGGGAAGGACCAGGCGGCGGCTGAGTCCAAGGCGGAGGCTGCGGCGAAGAAGGTGAAGGACCTCGCTGACAAGGCTGCTGCAAAGAAGAAGGCGGCGGACCAGACCGCGGCCGAGAAGGCGGCCGAGGAGAAGGCGGCCAAGGCGGCCAAGGATGACGCAGCAGCGAAGAAGAAGGGCGCTGCCGACGCTGCCGCGGCGACAAAGAAGGCAGCGGCTGACGCGGCCGCGGCTGACAAGAAGGCCAAGGATCAGGCGGCGGCCGCCGCCAAAGCCGAGGCTGCTGCGGCGAAGGAGCGGGCGTTGGCGGACAAGCAGGCGAAGGACGCGGCCGCTGCCAAGGCTGCAGCGGCGAAGCAAGAGAAGGAGCTGTCGAGCGAGCAGACCAAGGCCGAGGCAGCGGCCGCAAAGGCACGCGAGGCGGAGAAGGAGGCGAGGGACGCCAAGAAGGCAGCCGACCAAGCCGCGGCCGCGACCAAATCGAAGGAGAAGGATGCGGCCAAGGCCAAGGCGGACGCGGACGCAGCGATGGAGCGCGCGACGAAGGCGGCGAAGGTGGCAGAGGCAGCGGCTAAGGCAGCAGCCGAGGCAGAGAAGAAGGCAAAAGAGGCGGCAGCGGACAAGTCGGCGGCGGACAAGGCGGCCGCGCAAGAGGGCAAGTCGGCCGACGCCGCGGCGCGCAAGGCTGCCGCAGAGAAGGCGGCAGCGGAGAAGCGGATGAGGGACCAAGGCGTCACAAAGGCCAAGGCCGAGGCAGCTGAGACAAAGGAGCTCGCAGCATCTGAGAAGGCCGCTGCCAAGAAGGCCGCTGCAGACGCGGCGGCGGCAGAAAAGGCCGCGGAGGAGCAGGCGGCCGCGCAGGCCAAGGCGGACGCGGCAGCGGCCAAGAAGGTGGCGGCGGCCGCTGCCGCCGCGGCCAAGAGGGCGACGGCCGACGCAGCTGCGGCGGAGAAGCTCGCAAAGGACCAGGCGGCAGAGCAGGCCAAGGCGGAGAAAGTCGCTGCCAAGGAGAAGGAGGCAAGCGCTGCGGCGGCAAAGAAGGTCGCAGCCGAGAAGGCCATCGCGGAAAAGAAGGCGAAAGAGCAGGCGGCGGCTAACGCCAAGGCGGAAGCCGCGGCGAACAAAGAGCGTGCGGCTAAGGAGGCGGCAGCGGAGAAGACGCTGGCGGCGGACAAGCTCGCCGCAGAGAAGGCGGCGAAAGACAAGGCTGCAGCCAAGGCCAAGGCGGATGCGGACGCCAAGAAGAAGGACGCGGATGCGGAGGCGACGGCAGCCAAGAAGGCGGCGGCGGCGGCGGCGGCGGCAGACAAGGACGCAAAGGACAAGGCGGCGGAGCAAGCAAAGGCGGAGGCCGCGGCAAACAAGGCCCGGGCTGCAGCGGAGGCGGCCGCAAAGAAGGCGGCGGCGGAGAGGGCGGCGGCGGACAAGCAGGCCAAGGAGCAGGCTGCCGCCAAGGCCAAGGCGGACGCCGCAACAGAGAAGGAAAAGGTCGCGGCCAAGGACGCGATCGACAAGGCGGCGGCGGCTCAGAAGGCAGCGCTAGAGAAGCAAGCCTCGGACGAGAAGGCGAAAGCGGCAAAGGCGGAGGCGGACAAGGCCAAGAGCGGCGCTGCAAGCGAGAAGGCGGCGGCGGCAAAGGCGGCGGCTGATGCGGCGGCGGCGGAGAAGCTCGCAAAGGAGCAAGCGTCGGAGGTGGCCAAGGCCGAGAAGGCGGCGGCAAAAGAGAGGGGCGCAGCTGAAGCTGCTGCGAAGAAGGCAGCGGCGGAGAAGGCTGCGGCCGATCGGCAGGCCAAGGAGAAGGCGCAGGCAGACGCCATGGCAGCCGCGGCAGTCAAGAAGGAGAAGGACGCGGCGGACAAGGCGGCTGCCAAAAGGGCGGCGGCGGACAGGGCGGCGGCCGACCTCAGCGGCGCGGAGAAGCTCGTGAGGCAGGCGAGCGATGAGACGGAAAAGGCGAAGAAGCAGGCGGATGCCGAGGCGGCGGCAGCCAGAAAGGCCATGGAGGGTGGCATGGCCGCGGAGAAGGAGGCCAAGGCGGCCGCCGCCGCCAAAGCCAAAGCGGAGGCGGCGGCTGCGAAGGCGGCGGCAGCGGCCGAGGCGGCGGCCAAGAAGGCGGCTACAGAGAAGGCTGCCGCGGACAAGCAGGCAAAAGACGCCGCCGCTGCCAAGGCCAAGGCCGACGAGGCCTCATCAAAGGCGCAGAAGGCCGACAAGGAGGCCGCCGCCGCACGAGCGGCGGCCGACAAGGCTGCAACTGACGCCAAGCAAAAGGAGGCAGCGGCCGAAAAGGCCAAGAAGCTCGCCGACGCCGCGCAGGACAAGGCAGACGCCGCAGCCGACGCGGCGACCAAAGCGGCCAAGGCCGCATCAGACGCGGAGAAGGCTGCCAAGGCAGCAGCGACGGCGGCCGATAAGGCGGCTGCGGCAGCGGAGAAAGCAGGGGATTCCGCGGAGGCGGCCGCCAAGAAGGCTGCAGCGGACAAGGCGTCTGCAGATGCGAAGGCAAAGCAGCAAGCTGCCGCGAAGGCTGCAGCCGACGCCGCGGACGCTAAAGATAAGGCCGCGGCCGACAAGGCCGCCGCCAAGAAGGCTGCTGCGGATGCGGCGGCAGCCGAAAAGGCAGCGCAGGAGCAGGCAGCTGCAGCAGCCAAGGCGGAGGCAGCAGCGATAAAGGCCGAGGCCGCGGCGACGGCGGCAGCTGCCAAGAAGACGGCGGCGGATGCGGCCGCTGCCGACAAGCTCGCAAAGGACCAAAGCTCGGCGCACGGCAAGGCCGCGGACGCAGCAGGCAAGTGGCGCGACTCAGCCTCGGCAGCACTCAAGCAGGCGGCTGCCGAAAGGGAGGCGGCGGACAGGAAATCTGCGTCACACGCCGCCGCCAAGCGCAAGGCCGACGCGGCCGAGCTAGCCGAACGCGAAGCTTACGAGACTGCGCAGTCGATGAAGGGCGCGCCGTCGCCGCGCAAGAGGCAACGCTCGGTTAGCTTTGGGCAGAGCAGCGCCGAGATGGCAGCGGAGATTGCGGTGCGCGCGGCCCAGTCGGCGGCAGACAAGATGTCGGCGGAAGAGAAGGCCGCAGCAGATCGCCTCGGCCACGACGCGTCGAAGAGGACGCTCAGCGCGATGGACGATGACCTCTTGCGCGCATTGAGCCGGCAGGAGTCCTCCTCCGGCGGTGGCGGCTCGTCCGGCGATTACTACCAGATCATCGACGGCGTCAAGTACGACCGCGCCTTGCTCGAGATGGCGGAGGAGCTCTCGAGCGGCGGCAAGCTCGACGCGGCGGCGGTCGAGCAGCTGCTCGAGGCCATGCAGGACGCCGGCAAGGTGACCCCGACCGAGCTCGCGACGCTGCAGTACATCGCCGAGTCGTACAAGCTCGACAAGAAGGCGCAGGCCGCGATGGACAAGGGGCTGGCGGCGGCGGGCGGCGCAAAAAGCCGCTCCCTCGGCGGCAGCGGCTCGGGCAGCGGCTCCGGGAAGCGCAAGAAGTCGGGCTCGTCCGACGACTACTACCAGATCATCGACGGCGTCAAGTACGACCGCGCCGTGCTCGAGATGGCGGAGGAGCTCTCGAGCGGCGGCAAGCTCGACGCGGCGGCGGCGCAGCGCCTTTGGGAGTCGCGGGTCGCTGACGGTCGCGGAGTGACGGAAACGGAGCTAGAGACCCTCCGCTACATCATGGAGACGTACAAGCTCGACAAGAAGGCGCAGGCATACCTTCAGTCGGCCGCGAGCGGCTCGTCGTCGAGCGGCTCATCGTCGAAGCGCAGCCTGTCTGACACCGACCTCGGCTCTGGAGGCGCGTCTTCCAAACGAGGCCGGTCGGGCGGCAAGAGCTACTACCAGCAAATCGACGGGGTGAACTACGACCGCGAGCTGCTCGAGATGGCGGAGAAGCTGTCCAAGAGCAACGGTGGCAAGCTCGACTTGGCGGCCGCCCAGAAGCTTTGCCAAGAGGCGTGCGAGGATGGACGTGGCGTGACGGACTGCGAGAAGCGCACGCTGCAGTACATTGCGCAAACACACAAGCTGAACCCGGCAGCCACGACCTTCATGGAGATGGAGTTCGAGCTCTCGGCTTAGCCGGTCAGCCCAGCGTTCATATGCGCGGCAGTGGGGGACTTCATTCACCAGAGCATCTGCGTTCATGCTCATCGCTTCCGATTCTGAGATGGGGGTCGCGGAGGGCGGGGGGGGGGGGGGGGGGGGCAGATGAAGGACGGAGACGCGGCACAACCGCAAACCGGCAGAAGCTAGATATCGGCAAACGCAAAGCACAGAGGGAGAGAGGCGAGATTTGGATATGCTCTTCAGCGTTTCGGAAGGAAGGCTGCGAGGGCGTTCCGAGCACCGGGCGATTATATTGATTCGCCGGGCGGACTGAGACAGTGATGTCAGTGTGTGGGCTTGTCCTAATAATATCTCGCGGGCGTTGGGCGGGGGCTCGCGTGGGGGCACACAGCTCGCGCACGTCACAGGGGGGCCGGCACAGCGGCACACACCCCACACGGGGCGGGGTCGCGGTGGTAATCTGTTTAAACCTAACGAGGGCGCGGTAATGACGACGGTCTTCCCCCCCCCCCCCCCCCTGCGCACAACAGAGCTACGTTACATGAGACACGGCACTCCATAACCAGCTAAGAGCACACACGAGCGAAAGTGCACTGCAGCAAAAAGCAAGACACCCGCCGGTGGTGACGCTTTCGGGCTTTCCGGGCTGCCATTGAAGAGCTTGGTCGTGGATTGCACCGCCTGCACCGCGCCCACCGCGCTGCCGCGCTCAGGCGAGCGACGCGGTGTGCGCGAGGAGGCGCGGCTCGACCGGCGTGCCCTCCACCTTCGCGGCCCGGCAGACGAGGGCAGGCTTCGCGGCCTTGGCACGAGGCGGCGCGGTGGCGCGCTGCACCGCGAGCACGCCGCCGACCCCGACGACGAGCCCGAACGCCATCGCGACGAGCTCGCCGCCGCCGGCGGGCGAGGCGACAGGCACCTGTGCGAGGCGCCGCGTCGCGGCGACGACCGCGTCGTGCGCGGCCGCGACGTCCTTGTCGTGGACGACGAAGCCGAGGAGGCCGTCGCCGTCCTTGATGGCGAGGAAGAGGGGCGCGAAGACGACCGAGATGATGGCCATCAGCTTCATCATGATGTTGAGCGCCGGGCCGGACGTGTCCTTGAGCGGGTCGCCGACCGTGTCGCCCGTGACGGCCGCCTTGAAGATCTGCGACTTTTTGGTCTGGACCTTGCCGGTGTTGTCGACCGTCTCGGGCTCCTCCTCCCCGATGACGGCGTCCATCGCGCCCTTGGAGATGTACTTCTTGGCGTTGTCCCACGCGCCGCCCGTGTTGGACGACGAGATCGCCATCTGGACCGACGAGGCGATGGCGCCTGCGAGCAGGCCGGTGACGCAGCGCGTGCCGAAGCAGACGCCGCAGAGGACGGGCGAGAGCATGACGAGGGCGCCCGGCGCGATCATCTCCTGCAGCGACGCGTCGGTCGAGATCTTGATGCACGTGTCGTAGTCGGGCCGGTCGGGGTGGTTGGGGATGAGCAGGTTCGGGTTGGCGTCGAACTGGCGCTTGATCTCGAGGACCATCGCGTTGGCGGCCATGCCGACCGACTTCATGGTCATGGCCGAGAACCAGTAGGGCAGCATCGCGCCGACGAGCAGGCCGGCGAAGGTGATCGGGTCGAGCAGGTCGACGTGCAGGTCGCCGCCCGCCGCATCCTCCAGCCGCGTCACAAAGGCGCCGAAGAGGGCGAGGCCGACGAGGCAGGCGGAGCCGATGGCGAAGCCCTTGCCGATGGCGGCGGTGGTGTTGCCCGCGGCGTCGAGCGCGTCCGTCTTCTCGCGGACGGACGGGTGCAGCTCGCACATCTCGGCGATGCCGCCCGCGTTGTCGCAGACCGGGCCGTACACGTCGATCGCGAGGCAGGTGGCGAGGGTGGAGAGCATGCCGAGCGCGGCGAGCGCGATGCCGTAGAAGCCGGCGAGGGTGTGCGCGCCGTACACAATGAGCGAGAGGAGGAAGACGGGGACGATGGCGGACTTGTAGCCGAGCGCGAGCCCGTAGATGATGTTTGTGGCGGCGCCGGTGCGGCAGGCGTTGGCAACCTCCTTGACGGGCGAGTACGAGAAGGACGTGTAGTACTCGGTGACGAAGCCGATGAGGCAGCCGCCCCACAGGCCGAAGGCGACGCACAAGAAGGCGTTGATGCGCGACGAGCAGATGGAGCCGATGTAGAAGCCGCCAGTGCAGCCGCCGCAGGTGGCGGAGGGGAGCAGGGCGACCGCGAGGCCGTACACACACGGCGTCATCAGCAGCGAGGAGACGAGCAGCTGCGTCTTGAGCACGCGCTCGATGTCCGCCTCCTTGCGCACCGGGCTCAGGTCGGTGGCCACGAAGTTTGTGATTAGGCAGACGACGATCCCGACGCCCGAGACGGTGAGCGGGAACATGAGCGCGCCCCAGCCGGCGGCGACGATCATCGGCGACGAGGCGCCGACGAGGAGGGCGGCGCAGCTCGCCTCGCCAAACGAGCCGAAGAGGTCGGAGCCCATGCCCGCCACGTCGCCGACGTTGTCGCCCACGTTGTCGGCGATGGTGCCCGGGTTGTGCGGGTCGTCCTCAGGCAGGTCCTGCACCACCTTGCCCGCCAGGTCGGCGCCCACGTCCGCCGCCTTTGTGTAGATGCCTCCGCCGACGCGGCCGAACATGGCGATGGACGAGCCGCCGAGGCCGAAGCCGGCGACGACGTCCATCAGCTGCTTGTAGCCCTCGTCGCTGTCCGGGAAGGCGGTGCGGAGGATCGCGAGCAGGATGTAGAGCGCGAGGATGGCGATGCCTGCGGCGGAGTACGCGGCTCGTGCGCCATCCCGCTGCCATCCCGCTGCCCTCCCGCTGCCCCCCCGCTGCGCGCGGCTGTGGGCGGCGGCGCACCCGTGAGCGAGAAGCCCATCACGCCGCCCGCGCGGAAGGCGGTGTTGAAGGAGCGAGTCCACCCCTTGGAGGGGTCGCACGCGCCGACGGTGCAGCGCGCCTGCGGACGAGGGATCGGGCGCAGCCGTCGACAGAGCACGAGGAGGGAGGAGGAGGGGGAGAGGGGTGAAGGGGAGAAGAGGGGAGGAAGGGAGGAGAGGGAGGGAACGGCATAGTGAGCGGCACGTTGGAGAAGACGGCGACGCGCATGCCGATGTAGCCGCACACAATCGAGGTGATGGCGCCGACGACAAAGGAGACGCCGGAAAGCCAGCCGTTCTTCCACTCCCACTTGCCGTCCTCCTTGTCGCCCCAAGCGATCAGCACCGACATCGCCGGGAATGCGAGAACGATGAAGATCCCGCAGAGCTTGTACTCGGACCGCAAAAAGGCGTTGGCGCCGGTGGTGATGGCGGCGTACAGCTCGAGAAGGCGGGCGTTTTGCTCGGCGACGTCGGCGCCGTTGATGGGCTCGGAGCCCACGAGCGGCTCGTTGTTGGAGGCAACGTCGAGGGCGATGCTCGAGACGAGCTTGAGGAGGAAGACCGAAAACGCGATGCCGATGAGGCCCGTCACGATGATCAGCGCCGGAGCAGCCTCCGACGCGTCGGAGGCCGTGATGTTGCCGTTGACGCAGGCAAAGTCGTCCATGAGGCGAGACGGAGCAGCACTTGTGGATGCAAGCGGGTGTCTGGGCGGGCGCGCCGCGCCGCCTTTTTTTTTTCCTTGCCAGTGGTAAAATCCTGTAATGCCCGCAACCCACTGTATCCACCACGAGAACCTCGAGAACAGCCGGAAAGAAAAACAAGAATTCCGCCATGTTGTCGAGTGACTGACTTCGTACTCGGGATGGGCATCGGATGGGGCGCCTTTTTTTTCTCTGAGAAAAGAATTTTGAGCCGCGCGCGGGCTGCCGCGACGGCTTCCAATGTTGACGCCCCGGTTCGACTTGTCCCAAGACGAGGAGTTCGTGCACGTGCGGCTGCGAGTTCCGCACATTCGGATGGACGACGGCGAGTTTTACATTGACGGCCACGAGTTCAAATTCCACCTCAAGCCGTACTTTTTGCGGCTCACGTTCCGCGCCCGCCTCTGCGAGGACGGCCGCGAGCACGCGAGCTACGATGCGGTGGCCGGCGTCCTCGCGGTGCGGCTTCCAAAGGAGACGCCCGGACAACACTTTGAGGACCTGCACATGCTCTCGGAGCTCCTCCGGCGACCGCAGCCTCCCGCCGGCCGCGGCGGTGGCGCTGGCGGCCCGGGAGCATCACGAGGGGCGCCCCTCATCGAGGTGGTCTCTTCGACGCCGGCGGGTGGTGAGGCCGAGGCGGGCGAGGAGGGCGAGGAGGGCGACGAGGGCGGCGGCGAGAGCGAGGGCGACGAGGAGGCGTGGGCGGAGATGCTTGCGCACGACGCTGAGGCGGAGCAGGCTCTGCCGACGGACGACCCGGAGCTGCGGCCGTCCACGGCGTACGGCTTCAACGGCCGCCACGCCGGCCTCTTCCGCGGCCTCGAGGCGGAGGCTGTGCTCGAGCTTCCCGACCCCGAGTCGGCGAGCGCCGCCGAGCGGCGGGCGGCGCGGCTGGAGGCGGAGGAGGAGGCGTTCGACCCCGACCACTACATTGCCGACTTCATGGAGCACCGCCTCGCGCCCGAGAGTGCCGTCGGCCGAGCACTCGCCTACCAGCCGTGGTGGAGGGCCGAGGCGGCGCGGCGGGAGGCGGGTGCGGCGGGCGGAGGGTCGCCAGGCGAGGAGGAGTCTGCCGAGCCGCGCGAGGGCGGTGAGGGCGGCGAGGGTGGCGAGGGCGGCGAGGGCGGCGAGGGCGGCGAGGGCGGCGAGGGCGGCGCCGTGTGGGACGAGGAGGAGAGGGAGGCGCTCGTGTCGCTTCCCTCTGTGGAGCTCCTCATCGACCGCGAGGGCAGCCTGCGGGCGCTGTGCGGCCTGGCGGACCTGCTGTACGGGTACTGCTACGACGTGCGAGCCACCGAGGGAGAGCCGACCTGCGAGTCTGGCTGGACGGTGCGCATGCTCTCGACGCAGCTCTCCTGGCTCGACCCGCCAGCCTCGCCCGCCGAGGCTGCGGGCGCGAGCGTGCGGCGATCCCTCTGCTACCCTCTGCTCCGGCACTGGCTGCTGTCGCTCCGCGCCCTCGACGACGTGTGCTGCCTGCTCCGCCTCGGAAAGGCGTCGGCGACCCCCCCGGCCGTGTCTCGGCCTGCGTCCCGGCTAACCCTCCTCCGCCTTGGCCAGGTGGCCACGATCCGAGCCCTCCTCGCGGCGCGCAAGCTGCTGCAGGGCGGCGCCGAGTACGGCTACCTCCTCAACCGAGCGTGGCTCGACGACACCGTGATCTGGCTGCAGCGGGTCCCGGCGCGGCGGCTCGTGCGGCTGGCAGCTGCGCTCGAGGCGGCAGCACCAAGCAAGCCGACGGTGGGCTGGCCACTGGAGCAGTATGAGGCGCTGGCACTCGAGGACGAGGAGGGCGGGGAGGGTGAGGCGAGTAGCTCAGAGAGCGGCGACAGCGACAGCGGTGAGAGTGGAGAGGGCGGCGAGCGCGAAGCGGCTCCGGGTGGCGCAAATCATGCCGACACAGGGAGATCGGAACGGGGTATGGAAGTGGAAGGAACCTTGGTATGACTACATCAACATGAGTGACACACGTATTTCGTCGCCCTGTGTGTGTCCTCTCTGGTCTCTGCACTCTGGACTCGATCTGGCATGTTGTGCGAGTATATGGGCAAAAGCGTCGAAAATGCGCGGAAAAATTTTTTACGTGCGTCCCAAATGCGCGTTTGCGGCTTGCCTGTGCTCTCGGCCGCCTCGCTGAGCGGGACCGAGCGCGGTGCTGGTGGCGCCGACACTGCGGATCCGTCGAGCACTGCGATGGCTGCTGAACCAGTGAGAGTCGGCAGCGCTGCCTCTGCGGATGGTGCGCCTGCACAAACCACGCCAAGCGACTGCAAACTGGGCGCAAACCTGTCTGGCAATGCTCTGGGCGAGGATGTCAATGTGGAAACCACTCGAGACCTTCAGCTTGATCCTGCCACGACGACTCGCACCGCAAACGCGGGTCCTGCACTTCCTCGCGGTGCTGACATCTCTGTCCTGCGCCATGTTGACGCCAATTACTCTGCTTTCAACATGCTCAACGAGACGGGCGCTGCTGCAGCGCTGACTCCCAACGAGGCCGCACGACTGAATTGGAATGCCGCACAGCTCAATTGGAATGGCATGCCGAGCGCCGCGCTCCCTGGCGGCGGCGTGGCTGCGGAATAAGCTAGTCTATGGTCACCATCCTCTCCGGCTACGACAATGTGAACGTCATCTGGTCCTCACGGGGGTGACCCGTCTCCTCTTCTGCGTGTGATAGGGGGTAGACAGCGCCCAAAATCAACATCCTTCTGCTCTTCGACCTCAGCCTCGCTGCCCTCTGCGCGGCTGACCTAACCTGTGCTGCTGCTGCTGCTGCTGTTGCAGCTGATGCTGCTCCTGCTACCCTCCCGCCCGCCCACCCTGCCCGCCCGCCCTGCCCGCCCGCTCGTAAGGGGTCTTCACCTTCACACTGGTCTGGCCACAGGTGGGCAACCCTCCCGTCGAAGGTCAAGCGGTCTCAACTTCGCGCTCTACTGCCCGCCCTCGCCCTCGCCTACCGCCTCCCGCCTCCGCCCGCCGACCCGCCGCCAGCTCGTCCGCCAACCCGTCGTCTCTGTCGCCTCTCGCCCGCCCGCCATCGCCCTCGCCTTTCACCTCCCGCCGCCTCCCGCCGACCGCCACGCCAGCTTGCCTGCCGCCCTGTCGTCTCGCCTGTCGCCTGCCCGCCCTCGCCGCCTCTCGCCGACCACCACGCCAGCTTGGCCGCCGCCCTGTCGTCTCGCCTATCGCCCGCCCGCCCTCGCCCTCGCCCCCTCCTCCCGCCACCACCCTCGCCTCACCCTCCCGCCGCCTCGCCGCTCGCTTGCTCGCTCGCGCGCCCGCTCGCGCCTGGCTTTCTACTTCCTCGTGATCGCCCGAATCTCTCCTTCCTCGTGATCCACCCTCGCCTCACCCTCCCGCCGCCTCGCTGCTCGCTCGCCGCTTGCTCGCCCGCCCGACTTTCTACTTCCTCGTGATCCGAACCGCCACCACCCTCGCCTCACCCTCCCGCCGCCTCGCCGCTCTCGCTCGCCGTTCGCTCGCCCGCTCCCGACTTTCTACTTCCTCGTGATCCATCTCGCCGCCCGCTCGCTCGCTCGCGCTCGACCTCCTACTTCCTCGTGATCCACCGCCGCCACCCTCGCCTCGCCCTCCCGCCGCCTAGCCGCTCGCTCGCCGCTCGCTCGCACGTTCGCGCTCGACCTTCTACTTCCTCGTGATCCACCGCCGCCACCCTCGCCTCGCCCTCCCGCCGCCTGGCCGCTCGCCTGCCGCTCGCCCGCACGTTCGCGCTCGACCTTCTACTTCCTCGTGATCAACCCGCCGCCACCCTCACCCCCCGCCGCCTAGCCGCTCGCTCGCCGTTCGCTCACCCGCTCGCGCCAGACCTTCTACCTCCTCGTGATCCACCCGCCGCCACCCTCGTCTCGCCCTCCCGCCACCTAGCCGCTCGCTCGCTCCTATCCGTGCCACGCCTATCCGTGATCCTGCCGTTACCGCCCCGTCCTTGCTCCTTTCTGCCGTGCCGCTCCTTCCTCCGTGCCGCGCCGCCCTTGCCGTTTAGCCCGCCGCCCCCCCTGCCGTCCGTTACCGCCGTGCCGCCGTACAGTGCCACGCCCCGTGCCGTATGTCCCGCCGTCCGATGCCCTGCCTGCCGTCTGTTGCCGCCGCTCTGCCTTACCGCCAACCGTTGCCGTGCCACGCCGCCTTTACACACACACCTTACTTCCTGCTCGACTGAGTTTGCGATGAGAAGTGACCCGAGCCGCCGGGTGCCCCGCAGCGGCCTCGCTGGGCCAGAACGTCGGCCCCGAGTGCTCCGCAGCAGCCTCGCTGAGCCAGAACGTCGGCTCGCGAGGTGGGGTGCTAGTATGAGCCCGACCCAGGTCGTAGTGTTCTTGCTCCCAGCGCTTGCGCTTCGGCGGTTAGTGGTGCACTAACCTCCGAGAAACCCTTCGGGTCGCTCCTCATCGCAAACCCTGTCAGCAGAGTCTCCTACGGGAATGTACGTAAGAGCTACATACACTGAGAGAGAGAGACATTCGGCGGCGGCTTCTCGCCGCCGGCAGTTGCAAAGATCAACCGCCTTGCGCGCAAGGCTCAACGCTCGGGCGTTGACCGCACCGCGTACCCTCCCCACTCCCGCCTCTCATTTGTGTCACACCACGCGGAACGCATCTCCATCGCTTCGGTGAAGGGGGTGAACCGTGCCATCCTCGATCGCCGTGCAAAGCTCGCTTCCGAGCTCTCACGCCGCGCGTAGGGCCCTTAGGGGCCTAGAGAACACAACCCCCTCTCTCTTTTCTCCCAGTAAGCTAAAAGTACGTACACTGAAAAAGCGTGTCTCGAGTTTGTGGCAGCCCCACAGCCGGCGCGCGCCGCCAGGAAGCACCGCTCGCGTGTCGGCGGCACTCCCTGGCACCCAGTGAGTGCCGCGAACCGACCAGACCGAACAGGCTCGATGCCGCGCTCGCTGTGGGGCTGCCACAAAGTCGCCGCCGAGCGTGCCACCGACGGCGTCCCGGCGGAGGTGATGGAGTGTGAGACCTGAGGCTGCGGAGGTGACGCCTGAGGTACCGGCCCGTGTACGGCGACTCAGCCGGCGACCGCCACGGGCTCAGACGAGACTTGTCGACGCGTTCCGGCTCAGCTTCACCGTGGTCATCGGGCGTCTGTCGACGTCAGGACCACCCATACAGCTCGCGGGTTTGAGGTCGCAAGAGCCAAGATGGTGGCGTTTGGACATCCCAACCATCACACAAGACAGCCTGTAGGTGATGGCGGGACGGCGCAGTGTTTGTGGCACTCGGCAGTAGGCACCCGCGGCACAGCCCCGCGGTCGGCTCTCGCGGGCTGCGGAACCGGCCCCAGAAGGGGACGGTCCGGGCGAGTGTGGCAGCTCCTGCGCTAGTATGGGCACCCTCTATCACAACACTACTGATCCTGGCCATTAGAGCTGCCAGGGATAGCGTCAGGAGCTGGTAGTAGTCAAAACCCCTCATATTTGAGACATCGTGGCCCATATACTCGCACAACGAGCCATCTCTGCGGCGCGCGGTGCGAGAGAGAGGCCGTGAACAAAGACGTGCGAGCAGGCGCTTCTCGAGACGAGCGCTTGCGAGCGCGAGCAGCAGCTGTGAAACACACATGACACAAAAACAAACATAATGAGAACGCGGTCAACTCGGAACTCGCAAGACGCAACTCCCCGCGGGGCCGCGCCCGGCCGGGGCCCGCGCCCCGGGCCCGGCCCGCGCGAGCGAGTCTACACACATCACACGGTGATAATTCGTAAAAAAAAGCATCGTATCAGTTTGACGAGATCGGAGTCCCATTATCTTGGGACGAGCTCGGCCCTGCACCGCCGGAGCTGGCGTTGACCACGAGCTGCTGCTTGGCGGCGCTAGAGCAGCGCGTCTCCCGCAGCAGCTCGAAGGTGGTCGAGTCTCTCACCCGCCACTTCGCGCCGCTCGACGTCTGCTGCCGGTGCGTCTCGCCCTGGAGGATCTGCGCATACCAGATCTCCTCCCCCTCTCCACTTAGCCAGAGCAGTTCCATGGCGCCGGCTCGGTTGCTGCTCACGTGTAGAGTCACTGCGGAGGCCGGCTCGGTGGAGGCCGGCTCGCCCGGGGCCCCGTCCTCTCCCCGTTGGACTTGCTTGCCTCCTTCCTTTGCCTCCCCGGCCGTGCTCTCCATCGCCGCCACCAGCTCTTTTACGCGAAGTCCTGGCGATCGCGGCTCCTCGCCTTGCTCCTGTGCGTCGAGGAGGGTGAGCACAGCCTCCTCGCTGACAAGGCGAGTCTCCACGAGCCGAGCTATCAAATCGGCGAGCACCTGACCGCACAAAGCATTTTCACGCAACGGATCCGCCAGCCGAGGCGACCCGGCTTTCAGACTGGTAGGATGCCGGCGCTGGTGCTCCCGCGAGGCGCGACTCGAGCCTACGGCGAAACGAAGGATGTGTTAGATGGTGGCTCATCAACGGCCCTCCTTGCGGCGCCGGCCTTGTGGTCGGCTTCTGGCGACAAGACGCCTCCGTTAGCAGAAGGTGCTGCTCAGCCTCGTCGGACGTCGTGCACTCAGCCTCTGCCGAAGGCTTCTCGCACCGCAGCCGCCATCTCTGCTCCTTGAACGTGCTCTGGACGCGTGTCGATCCTGATTCCACCACTCCGTAGTCGACCTCGTCGTCACCGTTAACCCAGAAGAGTCGTGCCTCACCCGGCAGCCCGTTGCACGCCAACAGCTCCACAGTGGTTGACATGCGAGGGTGTGAGCGATGAACAGGGGGATCTCGCGGGCCCGCAAGTTTGGTTGAGGAAGAATTTTTTTCCTTTTTGGGGCGCTGTCTGAGCCCGCTGAGGTGCAGTGTTCTTGCGCAGGCGGCTATAGTGGTGCACTAACCCCGAGAAACCCTTAAGCGTCGCTCCTCATCGCAAATCCTGTCCCGTGTTTACTTTAAGGCCCTTGCCCTGCGAACGCGCACCCCCGGGGCTAGGGCTCTCTTGCCCGCAACCCGATCCCGATCATCCGGCCCGCTGGGTGCGCTCCTTAGCTCCCCGGCCCTGGATGTGAGGCTAATGACTGCACTCCAAGACCAAGTGCTCCAAAACTCCCTCGCACAACAATGGGGACGGGGAAAAAATGATACGACCCTCCCGAAAGTGGTATTAGTACCGACCCAAAAGGGGGGTAGCATGGGCCATGGCCGATTCGTCGCTGGCTCCCACTGACTGGTGCCGCCGCCTTTTCCTACCCTACCGCCACTTTCGCCTACGCCTCCTTCACCTCCGATGCCCTCGGGGCCCTCGCCATCCTCACCACCACCCAACCCTGCGCTGCCGTCGCCCTCGCCACCGCTGCCCTCGCTGCCGCCGCCCTTGCCCCCGCCGCCGTCCTCGCCGCCACCTCGTCCTGCGTTGCCCCAGCCCACGCCACCGCTGCGCAAGCCGCCGCTGCCCTCGCCGCCGCCGCCCTCGCCGCCGCCGCCCTCGCCGCCGCCGCCCTCGCCGCCGCCGCCCTCGCCGCCGCCGCCCTCGCCGCCGCCGCCCTCGTCGCCACCGCCCTCGTCGCCACCGCCCTCACCGCCCTCGCCGCCGCCGCCCTCGCCGCCACCGCCCTCGTCGCCACCGCCCTCGTCGCCACCG